GCGTGTGTGTGGGACGCGCTTAAAAAGATTTTAAAAACCGACATGGGTAATAGTAATAATAATAATAATATGCATTAATGTATTATGCGACCGACGCCGGACACCTGACGAATGGAAAACGAACTCGACTGCCGCGGCCATAGGTCCAATGACCGCCGCTCATTAATATATACAAACACATTTTCTAAACGGATTTTCACTCGTCGCGTCGGTCATATACGTGTGCGCTGTGCCAAAGTGCGTTACGGGTTTTTGACCGGTGCACGTCGATTGACAGCGATTGGCATAATATTATTATAACGCTGCACTATTACTGTCTTATAATGATTATTGTCGAGTACTTGCTGCAGTGAGCACCACCATAATAATATGATATTATAGAAAATTTACTGCCTCCATAAAATTGCTGCCAGGAGAAATTCCCCTCTATGCTTCCCCCCCACAACTATACGCCGGTGGTTGAGAACCACGACCAGTCTTTGCAATTAGGTGGAAATTAGATCGTGCTTTAGTCGGCACGGATTTTAAATATCACGAACTCAGTAATAATAAATGTGTATTACTCATGCGCGTATTGTGTATCGCGGGGGTGGCGGGCGGAGCGGTACTTTATTATTATAATATTATGTTATTATAAACATTACAAAAAATATGTATTATTGGACTCGGTGGTTCAATGGTGACATAAATTATTGTACAGATGTGATCGTGAATTAGATATGGTAAATATACGATTGGATTTATGTACCTGTAGGTACAAGGCGTGATGTGATGGTCATTTATATTTATACTATATTATTGTTCAGAATTACTGTGAATTACTTCAAATGCGTCCGCGGCCGAATTCGATTTTTTACCAATATATCATAATAATATATTATATTGAGTATTATTTGCATTAGAGTTTTTTTCATTCTCGCCATTTCGTTGGAAAAGAAAAAAACATGATCGATTACAAAATTCAACTGTTTGGCGTAGTATAGGCCTACGCGTATACATTGCATTCGTGGAGGAAGCGTAGGCGTAGTATTTTAATGAAATACATTTTGCTGCGGATGCCAAAAACATAATTCAATAATATTATCGTAAAATAAATCCCGTTATACGAATACCGTCAGATGCATATATCATATTATCAATAATAAGTAATATCTAACAATAATATTATGCCAGATGCGTTGTATAATCGAACCCTTAGGTGAAATGTATATATTATGTCTCTCCTCTCCTATCGCTAATACTGAACTCTATTCAACAGTTTACTTTTCAGAATGGTTAAAGCGTTTTTCAAAACAAATCCATCTAGTCCACTGATAAAAAAAAGAAATGTATCGATTGTATAACTAAAATATAAATATGATTAAATTAAATAAACTAAATTCTAATTTTTGACACATAATAACATCCTATTATGTTAATATTTTTTTTGAAATTTCTAATTTTTTACCAAAACAATTGAAAATAGAAAACAAAAAAGGCGCGGGAGAACTATATATAATATTATAATATGTCTTGGTTGTTCAAACATACCATTGAAAAACATGAGGAAGTAATCTGGATCAATTTCGAAGCTGAATTCGTTCAGACCATCTAAGTTCTATATACTGTATAGCAGCGTTTGTTAAACTGTGTTCCGCGGAACCTTGGGGTTCCGCGTAGATTACTTAAGGTTCCACGAAGCTTGAATTATTTTTTTTAAATGTTCAAGAAAGTTACTTATATATTAAATAATAATGTATAATTCATATGGAATAATCTATCAGCTAACTCTATATTTAATAATCTATACTTCTACTTAATATTATAATTAATTTGCAAATAATCCTAAAAAAAGCTAAAAAGCTAAAAAAAAGTAGGGGTTCCACGATAAAAGTGGACATCAAAAAGGGTTCCACGGATAAAAAAGTTTAAGAAACGCTGCTGTATAATATACGATGTGATACAGTGTATAAGACATTAAAAGTGGTAAACTTATATGCGCAACATCGCATTATTTAGTTCGATTATAGGGGAAAAAAACTATCATAGCAGCTCATTATTATAGGTTATATATTATGTACACGCCGACCGCACACGGATCTCGATTTCGATAATTCGTTTTGCACGGCGCGTCGGATCATCGCATAATAATTCGATTATAATCGCATATATATAGGTACTATAACAATAATAACCATAATAATAATATGTATCGCGCGACCAATATACACCATAGGGCGATAGGTATACCTACAATACATTTTAATAAGAATCGTCGAACATTATATAATATTATTTATATTATATGTGTATAATAAAATATATAAAGCGTACGAATTATTATTATATCGTCGTAATTTATAATACTATAATACCGTGAAACGAAAATTGTCTTCACGGCCGAGCGTTATTTTGTTCTCACTTAAAATGCAAATTTAAATCTCACACCACACACACACATGACGTGTCGGGAGCAACACGCGAAAAATTAAAAAAAAAAACAAAATCCATATTATAATAAAAATATTAATAAAAATAACCCATCGGCCAAACGCTGCAGTGCGGCAATATCATGTTATTAAAATATTCGTAATAATAATGATTTAAATCGGAGCGGCGATCGACGGGGCAAGGTCGTTGGCGGCTGYGGCACCACGCCCGAGCGGATCTCGCGAAACAGACCCCCGGGGGTTGGTGGCCGCCTGCCTAGGCTAAATTTATTTTATAATATTACTTGTGGGATTTCGCTTTTTCTACCTCTTTCTCTCTCTCTCTCTCTCTCTCACACACACACACACACACACGCACACACACACTCGTACACACACGAGCTCCTTCTCGAGTTGGTCGTGACCGTCAAGGTCGTCCGGGAAAAATCGTGTTTATTTATAATATTTTTTTCGCCATGTAACACGACCGCGCAGATTTGATTTAGGGCGTTGCCGCCGTTGAGTTAATATTATTGCACTTTACGGAGATGTAAGTTGTTGTTACAGCAACGCGCGTGTGCGGAAATCTCCGGCAGCCAAGTGTATAGATATATCATATTATCATATTATTACTATCGTACGTATTAGAATGATAATGTTATATCATACGATTATATTATAATGGCCATCGCATGCGCGTGTATGTTATTATATTATATTGTTATTATCGCGATCGACTGTGTGTATTACGCGATATTATTTAGCTCCTGTGCGTACGTGTAGGTATGATTAAACGATTATTTTTTTTCGTACAGTAGGTATTCTGAAATACGTAACTAAGCGCGATGAGTTGTGCTCGCTGTCCGATGAGTAAAGACGGCCTAGTTAAGAACGTTAATTTATAACTTGCATTGTATACCTAAGTTAAAAGTTGACAATAATAATTATATTTAATTAGCACGGTTGAAGTTGARTTAGTTAATCGTTTTTAATTACTATATATAGGCGCACAGGTCATGCATTATTGTGACTGCTGTGCATCTTCAATGTGTTCAAAAAAAATATCAACTAAATAATTTGTTTAAAAWATATATATCATAATATTKTATATCCGTCTTTCTTGTTGAAAACTATATGTGTAGCGGTTTCGGCATATCTACTATAATATACGAGTTTGTTAATAATAATATTAATATACCATCGATTAAACAAAAAATGAATGAATAAACTATATACTGTCTTAACTGTACAAAGATATTGATAATAAATTATCCACAAAGTTCATTATATGTTGTTCAATTTAATTGTAAAATCTTGTGCAATATAGATACTTAAAAATGATGTTGAATTTACTATGTACATTTAGTAAGGTTAAAAAGTCTAAACAAAAAATTAATTTTTTAACCAGTTATACCCTATAGGTACTCTTTGTCGTTTATATATTATGAACTACTGGGTGCGTTGTTGGTGCCGGTGGAGGTCGTATAAACATTATTATTATATATATACCACGCGATATTTATGTTATGCGCGTTTTTAATACCACATCACGCATAAAACATATTATTTTAATATTAGATTATATTATACACTGCAGTGGTATTTTGATATCATACGTGTTTTGAACCTTTCTGTTATTGTCTATACCGTAAGGTAAGCTCAATTTTGGTTTTTATTCGCAGATTATTATAATGTAAATTGTAWTATGTTATTATAATGTCCTGCAGTGTASCTGATATATTTGCCACCTGTCTCCTTATATTTACACAGGCATATAGGTACATTTGCAGTAGACACTCCTATTGTATATTTATTATTACATGCCACAATGCGCGTTACTACATAAAGAATTTTTTATATTTTCTTAACCAAAAATCTATTATTAACCTGTGATGAATATAGATATATTATATTACTACTACTCAAAAAAAAAAGGCCTCTGGAAATCTGAAATGATAAAAATCCCTTCAGTGGAAACCAATTAGGATGGAGATTTTTGATGCACGAGTACCACTATGGATGGAGCCGCGACTTTGATATCTATACATCACTCTTCTTTAACGAACAATAGTTATAATTGGACGAATCAGTTCATATTAAAGTATTTAAATTAAGGTTTCCAATGTTATTAACCATTACATTGTTATGCATTCTGTAAGTTGGTTGTGCATGAATACAATTTCTGTAATCGATTTACCGATAACACAAATATAACATGTACATGTACATCTACTATGTAGCTACAATATAATATCAGCTAGTTAATATTATAATATATATTAACGTCTGCACAAAATTATGAAAACATTTTTTTTAGCCCGAAAAGATTTCTCATTTACTTCAACTCTAATTTATAGTAATTTAGTAATTTGTATAGGGCTATAGATATATTCGTTTTTAAATGAAATAGATACGTAAGATAAGTACTATTCAATTTTAAATTTGTCAAACGCAAATAACTTTTTTGATTTGTTGGCGTATTTAGATAGATATTATAGTATTCTCCCGTATTATAGCCCTATATAAATTGTCATTACATTGTACATTACATTTCCATTGTTTATTTATTTTCGTTTATTTTTTGGTTCTCAGGATCACATTCAGGAAGTGTTGGATAAATGGACACAAATCGACGATGAGATTTGGGCCAAAGTGATAGTGCTCGAGAGAAACCGTCGAGTGGCTAAAGCTTACGCCAGGGCACCAATACTCACGGTCAACGGGTCTGACGAAGGATTCGACGGATACAGGTAATAATATTGTTAAATTATAGCTAAAACAAATTAGTATAAGTTTGTTGATATTTGAGACTTTTTAATGGATTGATATCATGCATATAAAGGCACAAATAGGAAAAAAAAATTAATATTATTGAAACGGGGTTGAGGAGAGTCGAATCGAAAGGATTGCTCTGTGCAACGTGGGTACATATTAATCGTCTCGACTCTCGAGTATGAATTCTATACTCCCAGAAGGTTATTATTCCAGAAGAGTTAGTAGGTAGTAGGTATAGACATAATTCGTTGTGCTATTGAGATACGAATCTCTCACATGAGATTGATAACAAATAAATTTGTTTAAAAATCTGCAGTTKTCATAATAGTTCACTATATAAAATTATTATGGTATATTTGTTTAGCTGCAGCTAGCGTTCTTATTTTCCTGCAAAAATCTGTTTTTATATTGATGAATAATTTTTTTCGAACAATTTAATTAACACTCGCTTACCCTAATCGTCTTCCGGTCATCTACAGACACATTTTACATAATCATCGTTGTAGGGGCTTTAAGAATTAGTGAAATTTCTGAGTGATTTGAAGGGAAGGGGTACTCATGCCATTATCTATATTGGTCTAAGTCCAATAAAATTCGCACCTTCACTATTAGTTCCTTTATAATATTATATAGGCACTTAATATAAGTTCCACACACATATACACTGAATTATTGCAATAATAATTTATTATTATGGATCGCCAAGTCTTTTTTTCATTAAAAATACACTATCGCACAATAATTGTTTGGWATATTTATTCGTATTATTTWWAAAAAAAATGATTGTTATTAAATATATTTAAACTTTTTTAACTTAGTTTAATTAATTATTGCAATAATTATCGTTGGGTTGTGACAGAATAATAATATGATTCGCCTAGGCAGTAACCTTACAAAATTTAATAAACGTGCGCATGGTGTACTACATTACTACAATGTTATGTCATTACTTATTAGTATCGGAGGTTAGTACTTGTTGTAGGTAGGTACTTTGTATGTTGTTTAAAGAATGCGTTTCCAGTAAAATATACACGCGAATTTCGATTTAGGATGCATATTGCATTTATATTAGGTATATAGGTGCACGCGCCATATAATGCACAACGATTATCGACATAATATTGTTTAATATGGTCACGGTATAGGTAGATACAAATCGGTTTCGATAGTGGGTTTATAATATTATACATTAATAAGGATAATATCACGATAAATATATTATTATTATTATTATACATCGTAAAAGGTTTACCATTTATCGGTTGAACCTACATGGCATTACGATAATAATTATTGCATATAAATTATAATAAATATTATTTAGCGTTATTACTGGCAATTCGTCTTTACTCATTAGTCATTACCTTTCAGAGACACCAACGTGACGCATTATGATAGTTTTAGTAAAAATAATGAAAACATTAAAAGGAGTTATTCTGTGACCTGTGCGCCTATTGTTACTGACCGCGAAAATAATATTAACGAATTTGATTTGGCGGTTTCCGCGAGGAAATTTTAAATTGATTACTCAACCTTTATTGTAGGTATATGTATAATTAGTTATAATAATGGGTATTACACAAAACAAACGCAATGAGGTATACAATAATACAATTATAATAATCAATATGGACGTATAACGTATAATATTGTTATTTTCCAATGGATAAAAATATATTATAATGTACAGGTCTAGGAAATAATTATCATATAATTAGTGATTCAATTGATTATTTGTTTTTATTCAAAGAAATAACACTCGACATTGTGGCCATTATAGATACTTACATTTCTGTATAGTATTTTTAAATTGTAGTGTGAAATTCRATAAATTGATGAAATAGTAATAATAAATGAGATTTAAATGTAGTACTATACTTTAGGGGCTTACACATTACAACAATTATTTATCCATATTGGACTGCTGTAGGAAGGAAATAAATTAAAATAATTATACATCAATGTAGATTTCTTAAAGGTAATATTATTTATCCATTACATTATTTCCACATACATTTAATTTCACTAATAAGTTCATATACAGTTATAATATAATAATTCATAGATAATATTTTATTTCATTACACACACGCGCATATTAAAAAGCCTACATTGATATTTTTAAAGTTTTTCATTATTCGCTATTACTATATATTTATATATAAGCCCGCGAGGTTTCGACTTGGGTGTATTATAGGCTATATTGTTGTGTCGTATTATATTTTTATAAAATAATATATATATATATATATAAATATATTATAGGTAGTATAATATGAAAATTCTCAGGACGGGTGTTCGTTTCATTCGGCGAGAACTGTTAAATCATTTCAGTAACGAATATATCACTTTCAACCCAACACTCGGTTATAATAGTTTTTTTTTTTAAATACAGGATTTTAAAACGAAAATTATTTTTTATTTTTAAATCTTATATTATATACAAATTCTAAACAATATAACAAAATCCAAAAAATATAATATATAATGACATAAAATACAAAAGTCTTTTGATACTATACATTATATCGATACAAAGTTGGCACCCAATTATTCGAATTAGCATTTGTTTTATATTTTATAATATATTATATACCTATATAAGTATTGTATATTCTAAGAAATGTTTTCTGGTTTTGGAATTCTCTTCCCGCAAGTCAGTGAACTCTCTCGGCCATATGTACACAATTTGTTTTTTCTCCTCTTCTACCACCACCTCCCCGCCATCAACGTCGCCGCCACCACTATACCTCCACGTCGCCCTTCTCGCGTTCTTCTGTTTCCTTATACGCGCTACACACACGTGCGCTTTCCAATTCAACTCAATTATTATTACCACGCCGATAACAAAACCGCAGTCGTTGTTTGAATCGCGACAATTTATACTCGGACTATTTTCTACACGTAAAAGACTACACACACACACACACACACACACGCGTATGTCCGCAAGTACGCGAATACATAATATACATCTATATACGTAGATGGTGTGAACCGGGTTCAACACACACGCACACACGCGTATATAATATAATATTATTATGTATGTGCTAGTAAATCGTAAATCTCTTTATAATCTATAAGTCCACAATAGAGCGCAGGCCAATAGTTGAATATTTATTGTCGTCGTCGGCGGCGGTGGCGGCGTCGGCGACGAACGCGTTCGCGCTAGGGGCGCGCGACCTATGAGAACTTTTCGAGATGCGAAAAATAGATTTTGAAACCAGTCGCGTGCTATAAATATACGAATATAAGCATAATATATATATATGTACACCTATATTATCTAAAGACGAGAGATTTATAGCATAGGCCGTGTGATGTAATAATTTCAAAACAAAACAATATAATAATATAAAATAAATAACGCGCGTATTATTACTATAGACGAATGTGTAATCTTGCAGTATAGTATCGTATACATAAAAATGAATAACGCACGTTCTTATGACACTGTCTTATAGACTTCTTGGAAATGTCTGTACAAATTCCGACYGATTTTGCACACATATTTCTTCAGACTCRAGAAGTTTCCTTAGTTTCGTTTTACAGTCCTTAAACATAGATTGATTACTATTATAGCTTATATATCCATAGCCTTTTGAAGACTTGACATTTTCTTGGTATCTTCGTAGGGGGAGGGGACTAAGAAACGGTTTTTGAAAATTTTCATTTTAAAAAAGTGCTCATCCATGGTGACTACAGCCGGAAATCGAATATTTTGTAGTATGCACCTATATGTATATATATATATATATAATATTATCGTGCCATATTTTATGTATTTTTTTATTTTTTCATGAGCGAAGTTAGGTTATACACAGCTATAGTATATTATGTATATAATACATATTATAGTTGTGGTTTAATATATTATGTGACTATGTGAGTTATAATAATTTTTTTTCGTATCATATATAGTATATATGACGTATACGTGATATATAATATATATGTTATGATATTCTATATGGTAGACATTATAATACGTCAAGTCGTCGTCGTCGCACCATATATATTTATACCTTATGGTATTGTGATTTGTGGGGCGTATTCGRAGCGAAAATTGTTTGCTGGAGTCTTTAAAAACGTATAAAAATTCTTTGGCGCTCGAGCCGACTATATCACAGTTGAATGCCAAGGACTCAAAACGCGCCCATAGCTCCCAGCGTTCAAGTTTCCGAGGCGACTGTAATAATCGTAATATAATAATAATATTATTATCATCATTGTTGTGTAATCGTCATCGGAACATGTCGTTAGAATATTATATTAGTGCACTATATATACGTAGGTACAGTAGGTATCAGAGTTATTCACAAGGTGTACTTGTCTCCATTTTCCCCTACAATGATAAGCTTAACTGACATAACCATTTTTCAGGATTATATTATTATATACAGTAGTTAAGGTATACTATCTGTAAAACTACACGATAAATTTTTAATTTAGATGCATTAATATTTCAAACAATTATTTTCTTAACAATTTATACGAAAAGAATTAGGTTTTAAAATTAAAAAATGAATATTGCAACAGTACCTATAAAAATACTAAAAAATACAACAAAATCAGAATTTGAATATAGATACATTAATTTAATATCGAAAAATAAATGAAGGACGGAGGTGAGCATGGTTGGTGAGAATAATAATAAGTAATAGCAAGTATATAGTGCCACAGTGGTATATATAATGTAAATAATAATCGTTCATTATTATTTTCTAAACGACGGCGACGATGTAATTTCCAGCTTTTCATWATAAACCTATAATTATTATTTATTCTAATGTTTTCTATTATTATTTATTATATAATTCTAAATGAAATATTTTAGCACAATACCTATTATATTGGTAACCATCATACAGTTTCTTAAACGAATCATGTTCACGAATTTCGATACTATCATTGAGTGTTTTACTTTTATGGAACTATAATAATATRATTGTGATTTAATCGACTAATTCGT